TAAAAACATTGTAGTAAGCACAAGCCACGCATCAGCTCGCAGTTCACTCCGACATCAATGAAACGCGTCGGACGCGCACGCAATCACCGCCCGTGAGTACACGTGTCCCAAACTACGCAGGCTTATATACATCGTATACATACTGTGTTTAGCGACACAATTCTTACAACTACTAGTTAGATTTTATTTGCGCAAATGTATCTGCTTATCAGCTATATAACTTCGTGCGATACACGGTCGTTTTACAATTTCAAGTTAAACTCTACATCCGAAATAATATTTTATTACTTGAATAAAATGTTTATGTGATTCTATGCGTGGAACTGTTTACGTTAAATCTCTTTTAGAATGGAACTGCATGTAAAGTAGGCCAGTCTGAAAGCTGCTCGAGTTACTGCACATTACCGTCCGCTAGATATTGTGCAAATATTTCATTTTAATGCTCACATTGTTTAATATAAAAGCGCCGATAAATCATTTTAATACCACCTGCTCGTGTTCTACTAGTGCTTTGTGTGCGATACAGCCACGCCCTGTACAAGCCACACTGCTGAACATGTATTCTAAGATGAAGATAAACAGTAACCTCTTCTCCTACTGTCATCAGTTGTGATAAAAATTTAATTATAACTTTATAAGTCTCAAACCGATTTACTTCAACATTCCTGCTAAAGCTTGCTAGTACTAAAAGCACTTGACTCGGCCAGAAACAATCGTTCCTATCATCGTTGGCGCTCGTAGGGCTCAATCGCAGAAGGTCGTAACTCATAGTTGTTGGCACGATTTAACTATAAAACCGAAACGGTACATCAATAAAGACACCATACTAAAATCCATTTCTAATCTTTCCGGTGGTTGCTGCATTTAGCCGTTTGAAAATAGCAACGAACGGCGCGCCCGCGCATACGAATACTGTAACAAACTGTTTACACTTACAGAAATAGACTCGGTTCGCTTCTGAATGTGGAACGGGTGAACACTTGGCTTTTATGGACAGCTATTTTTGGTGGAGCCGACTGTCCAGGAGCTACGAACATGCAACGTCGTACCGTGGAGGAGTCATTCGTCCAAGCGCATTGCGAAACTAAACAAACATAGAGGACCTACTCACCACCACCACTATGAAGAAATTAAAATGAATCAAACAGTTTTTTAAAGCTACTATCATCATAAATCTCTTCGCTCATGTAGTTACTTAACAGAAACACGGCACCCTATAAATCCTCACAAGTTGGTCACGTGTACACCTCGATTTACACTTAATGCTATAACCTCTGACGGCAGAAGAAATCGTACTTCTCGCTGTATTATCGTTTATCACGAGAATCATCGTGTCCGCGGGGTCACGTGTACGCGAAATTTTATAAAAAAAGAAATATATTTATACAAGGTAATCACGTGGCTATACCACACAACTCTATTGTTTCGAAAAACAAAAACAAAATTAAGAAACATAGACGACTCTGCTTAGTTTTTAAACTGAAACTAACCGAGCTCAGCGGACTGTTGTAAACATTCGTCTTTTTATAATTTAAATATTATTATTGTAATGAACTGGTTTCATTAATACAACGCAAACATACAGATACAGGCTGCGATCTCCCTGACTTGTAGTTCTTATTGCACAATATTCAGAATGTTGTGGGTTGTGTTACTGCAAAAATAGCATTTCTGAAGCAATTTTTTAAGTAACTAACTATCTAAATTATGTAACAATGCATTGTAAAAAGTGATTGAAAAAGAGTAACCATGGAGTTTCTTGCTCGTTCTTCTCCATAGGAATCTACACTTTGGAACGAGCAAATAGCTTCACTAGAGGACAGACGGACAGACTGACACATATAAAGTTAAACCTTATGATATATTTTTTGCTTGACGTTCAAAAGTGCCTTTTGTGGTCTGTTTGAAATAAAGAATTTGATTTGATTTGATTTTGTTTTACACGTCAGAGGTAACGTTTAAACCTAAGCTTAAATTTGAACATACAAAACAAAATCCTCAAACTCGGTATCAATCCACGAACTTTAACTACTTCAAGCAATCAGTTCTCCACCTGTACTTCAGGTAAAACTAAGTGGATACAAACTAAATAAAAATTTAGAATCACAAATTATTAATAAAATGCGACAACCGGCCGTAAAATGTAAATTGTTGAATAAACCAATGATAATTCGCAAAAACTCGTAGAAGTCTTACCTACTCATTGAAAATCAAAGTATGTGAAGTGTTTAAAAACAATTAGCAGTGGGCAGTAGTGTAAGTTCCGTGTGGCGATGCATCGCAGACAGTGCGCTGTCAGTGCGACTGCACAAACCGATATCCGCGAATTTATAAAATAATTCAAGTGTGTCACGTTTCGTAGCTCGCGTGTATGTTCTATTTTTAAAACTCAATAATTTAGCTGTGTATTGTGCTTCTTCTCGTTTTCTCAGCTATTGTATCGAGTGCGTGCGAGGGAGACAGACGGAGAGAGGCGCGGGCGGGGCGCGTCCTTCACTTGTCGCGCGGCGCGTTGCCGGGTGTTCTAAATATAAAAAGTGGGGGGTGCGGTGCGCGGGCGGCGGCCGACCGGCTTTGTTGATCCAGCTTTGTTGTACTGCTGCCATTATAATACTCTGTTTTTCTAAATGACTTACAGAGGCTTGGCCAAGGTCTGGTCAAAGTCGCGAGCGCCGCGATTCGCTTACAAGCCGGATACGAAACCTCCTCGACACTCACAAAAAGATGAAACCATTTAATGAGCACATGTTAATATCGAGCCTTATTCAATGTGAACCAAAGAAAAAATACAATATAAAAAATAAAAACGTCATTAAAAGTATTTAGAGCTGAAAGGCGCGCGTCCAGTTGAACAACCTCACTGTATTTGTGGAGGACGGGGACACACGTTACTTTATTTTTCGGTGACGAGCGAACCATTTCCATGTAATGTATAAATATGAATTTTGAGAACTTCTTTGTCACAGCAACCCTTGCAGCGACGTTGGATTTATATTTATACTTCACTGTAATTGAGGAAAGGGTTCATAATTGAATTACACGTAGCAAAGAATCCTTATGGTTGGCTGACTCTAACAGACTGTTTTATTGTTGATACTTAGTAACATAAATATAGTTACACACTCGCACGCACTTCCGAAACTGAACTTTATTACAATATTATTTAATTGTTCTATGTAAATATGTCAATTGCCAATTCATGGTGTTTGTTTCTAATAAAAGTGTTTTATTCACAAAATACGTGCCGATCGTATAATTGAAATAAAACGTGGACGGGCTACGCGAGAGTTTCGTAGCCGTGCGTAGCGTAATGTGCTACAAGCGTAGCACGTCCTGCTCCGTAGTACGCTACATCTCCCGTAGAAGTAGTTTTCTATCTATTCGTAGCGCGCTACGAAATGTTTTGTGCTTTGCTAGTAGCACGGGCTAGCTACTACTTAATGCTCGATACCACCACACACGAGTGATTAAAGTGAAACATTTTTGTGTGATGATAATTAATTCAGTGAAAAGACATAATACTACATAGATTATAAAACACTTATTGCTAATTCTTATGTAATCAGCTGAGATTATTCTGATTTCAGTTTAATTTATTCAGTATTCCCTCGTGGACTGCTAGCCAGGAGACTATTTCCAAACTCATTTAAAATCGGCCTCGGTCCAAAATAAACCAATCACCGATATCGCATTTGTTCTACTTAGCCACTAATACTTGTCCATGTCTTCGGATCACGTCTGAAACTGGAACGGAGTGAATAATTAAAAAAGCTCAGATGAGGTCACTCGCAGTTTAAATTAGGTCTCTCATTTAACTTGAATAGATTTTATTTTAACCTTATTATTGCACACGTATTATAGAGATGGTCTGAACGTTATCTTTCATAGCAACTAACCAGCCAATCTTTGCCCATTTTATCAGGCGTATATTCGCAGCATATATCTTACGTGGCGTGAACTGACCTTAACCAAAGTATTTGCCGCGGCCGGCAGTTTGATGTAAGCCACATTATTGCGGTCCCTGTATCTTGTGCCCCAAATCACATGACCGTCGTCAAGGCAGGCTATATATAAGTCCTAACCTTTCACGCCCATCTTGACTGAGCCATTAATTAAGGCTGTCGTGACCTCCAGCTTGGACCCTGAGTCCTCGGGACCGGGCCGGGCAGCTGTTCTAAATATATCCACAGCCAAAAATAACTGTCGCACCCCCCTCGCGAGCGCTCCCCACCACCCGTCCTTCAGGGACGCCCGCAGGCTTCGCCGCAATCCCCCAACGACCTACATTGAAACGGGTGAAGCAGGTCGCATCGGGACTCGCCAGCACCGCACGCTGCATACCGCAACACGTACAGTCGCACGCGGGATGTGCGGGCCAATGTGATTAGCGAGCGCCGCCTCTTGCTTATACACAACATAATATTATCAATATATGTTTGTTTGTTTGTAATCACAAGTACAAATTATTTATCTATTAAAAAGTTCAAGTAAGTTGAAGTAGTGGGTAATAAGCATTTGGCATGTGCCTGAGAAGCTCGGTAACAACTAAAATGAAGAGGGGAAATAAAAGGAGAGAGCCCTCGAGGTGCGCCCTACTAAGCACCCCCCTCGGCAAACAGTCCCTAAGTGGTAGAGTACGCGCACATCAGCACAGACGTAAACACTCGCGTTTTTCGAGGACACTACGCAAACAATTGAACTCGGTCGAGTTCAACACTAAAACATTTTACAACTAGCAAGTACTTATCAAGTAGTAACTAGGTAGGTCGGCCCCCTCCCACCCAGCCTAGGTTATTTAGGTCACAGGCATAAGGTCGCCTACACACCGCGCACCGCTACCTACTAACGTGTGCTGTGTCTGCAATGTCGCTGCGGACATACTTGTACATGCTACTTTATCCTAATCCTAATTATAGGCGTTTGCTGTCTTTTTTAAGTTTGCTCTTTTATTTAGGATCAATTTAACAGACTGTCTGCAATGTATCTATGTTTTGTTGCAGCGGAGATGGCGCACGAGAGCGGTGGCGCCGCGGACGGGTCCCCGCAGCACACGCCCTCGCCGCCGCACGCGCCGCGCCTGCCCCTCGCCGACACCAGCTTCCACCAGCAGATCATGCAGGTTAGCATCACCAACTTCACCTCTCTTATCAACTATCTTCCATAATACCACTATTTATCTATATTTATATCAATCTATGTACTTTCTCTTGTGCATGTCCTTTGTTTTTATCCAAGTCCTCTTATTTTGTCAATATTTTTAGATTGTACTTATTTTTTGGAAGGGTCTTGTATTTTTGTTCTGCCTTCTGTTCGTACTTTGTTTGTCTTCTTCTTTGTCTAAAACCTTATTTCTCCAGTCCTGCAGTAGTCCATCCATCGTCGTAGTGTTATGTAGTGCCCCCGACTCAGTCTCTCTTATATTGCCTGTCGTCGCCTTCCTCGCCACAAGTTTCAGTTGCAGCGAGGTGACTCACCAGCGACAGGGTACAGACGAGCTGTACATGCACATTCTGTAATTACGTAATGTAATGTTTGTAAACACATAATGATGCGAGTGGGCGGGAGGCCCGATTACATCTAACGCGCACTAGCGCTCCGTAATACTTGTTCAATAACACTCATTCTGTACAAATTATGTATTTATTATTCTTGGACAAGTTACCTTGTAATTACTCGGTTAAGATAACGAGCTCGATATTATCTTTGATTGCGATAATTTTCTATAAATAGAATGCTGATTTAATGATTGAATAATGTACAGGTCCTTGCAAGTGTTGCCGTTTGCAGGTATCGTATTAACCGAGTGAAACGTTAATTAAAACTCAATGAACAATGTGATTACATAAAAACTATAGTATAATCCTAGACAGCGGCGGACTTTTATATTTAGCTGACAGAAATAACAGATATGCTGACAGATTTGTATTTCAGTTGATAAATGTATTGATGATAGTTCTAAATATAACTTGTTTATTTCTTGTAGTGCCCCATGTTCCGTTGATATAACGAGATACAAAAATACTCTTTCCACGAAATATATAGATAGAAAGCGATGGGATGAGCCAAGCGTATGCATAAGCGTGTGAGTAGGTAGCTTTCTATAAGATCAATCAGTTTGAACGCAGTACAGACAGACATCAAACAACTGTTCGGTCTTTGATAAAACGGACAAATTCAAACAACGTTCTCGACATGGGTACCACATACATAAGCGTGCATTTATCAAATATCTTTGTTTACATTTACCATTTCAATTGTCCAGTCACAATTTGTATACTTGTGTATTGAACTGTATAAAAGTCGATGGAGCAGATAACGAATGCAGGTGAAGGAGCGAAGCCCGCAGATTACCGTGACCTTTTCCCAAAATATAGCGAACGCTCGCCGCATACATATTATTTTTACGCGATATTTATACCGACACCGGCGCGCGCGCACTATTAATATCGCGTATACGTTCGCATGTGTGTATGTATGTGTCTGTGTATAGCGTCTGCATATATGTTATGATTATATGCGTATAATACGGATTAAATTTAGATATGAAATTATTCGCGGCCCCTTTTTGCGTACTTTTAAAATATTCGAAGTTTGTTGATATTGCATAGGCTAGAATAGTACCTGTTTCAAGATAACAGTTCTCTGGTGGTGCACTGTCGAGTTATATAGCTATAAAGATAAAACGTTCTGCGTATTTAAATGTTGCTTTTACGCAAATCTGTGTTGCAAAATGGGAACAAAACACACAACAACAGTAGATGAATATTTACTGGCAGCTGAGACAACGTCGAAAAAAATCTAGATCATTTTAATGTTTATTAGGTGATATGTTCGTCGGAGAAAGTGTCTTGCCATCAAATATTGCTTCAAGGAATCGTGCTGTAATTTTTGGAACTCTCAACCTTTCTTTTTGCTTTGAGGGGTTATCATCAGTTTTATGAAGTTGATGAGTCTTGTATAACTTCCTGAACATGTCCGAAGTAACGTATTGTGTGGTGAAGGCCCGGGCTCCCCTGAACCGCGACATTATTTCAGCCCCGCCCACGCGCCCGCGCAAAACATCCGTTCGCGCGATCTATTCGCGGCACATTCCGACCACCCGCCATTTTTCCCCATCGAACAAAAATAATGCGCGCGTCGCCAGAAATACGCGCACGCGCGCCTCGACCTGCCTTTTGATGTATTTTTTGAAAATCGTACGCTTCCGAGCATTGGTACAAGGTTGCATCTGTCTGGTCCGAGGGATCCTTCAAGTAGGGCTTTGGTTGTGAAGGGAATGCTACGGTGCAATGTACATTGCGCCAAAAAAAATACAAACTACGGAGCACTACCGCGCCTTTCTTATTATCATCAAAATCCTACATTTACAAGTAAATATTTAATCATGTAAATATTGAAACTTTACAAAGTGGCGTGTTGGAGCTCCCCGTTTGTTGCCCCTCCCCCCTCCCCTGTAGTACTAATAGTTCCTCCCCGGTCGTGGTCGATTGTCCTACATGTATTTCATCTCTCGTTGTCAGAATCAGAACCCAAGAAAGAACCATATTGCTGAGCGGGCGAAACAGACATTAGAGAGTAGTTTCCTGATGCAAGTGAGTTCCAATTACAATAATACTGTGTACAGTCAACAGTTGCAATGTGTCGCATTCAATGAACATGTCCAAATGTTGTCCAAAACATAATCGAGCAGACGACAATGTTTGCTGGCATTTTGGAATTTCAATCCTGACTCATCATGTGTCATTGGATCATTAAGTTGTAATGTGCTCTATTTGTAGACATTGCTATACCGATCAGCATTTATAATTTGTTTGACTTAACCATTACCTTAAATCATTACATGCCATACAATTGGTTTCACCAACATACCACGTGTGTGCGCGAGACGAACGTTTGGACATGATTCTCTCGATGTACCTACACCATACAGTGCGACAGTGCGAGAGTGCGAGTACTCAATGAAATGTTTTAATCAAGTAGTTGAATAAGACACAGCTGGTTTTGCCTAATTGTACATTGTAACAATAACACTCGCTAGAGTACGTGGGATGAGCAATGAATTAATACAATTACTGTAAGTAGTAGTACAACCGAGCCACTCATTATAACTCATATGTAAATAAATATAATTTTTTCATTGTAAAACAGCTTACATTTTTGTAGATATATATTTAATAACACTATAAACGACCTCTTCAAATAAGGAAATTGGGCGGTGTTGTGAGAGGAGATCTACTTTCTAATCAAATTCTTATTATTGCCTTTGTTGTATTATAGTAATATATGAAATATTTAATACATATCTCCACACACAATGCCGACGCTAGCAAAATAACATGATCGAGTGCGTGCCACGCGTCACTGTCAGAGCCGCGCAGTACTTATGTTTCGGATAACGTTTGCAGCTAAAGAAACAACAGCAGCTGCAGCAAGAGATCCTGCTGCAGCACTTCCAGCAGCAGCGGCAGCAGCTCGCGCAGGAACACGAGCAACAGCTGATGCACCATTTGAAGGTAAATATGCTGCAGGTAAATACGAATCGAACACTTTCTTTATTACAACCTAGTTTATAAGCTTATTACTATTTTGAGTTTGTCTTTTGAGAACTGTACTTTAATGGAAATGTTGGAAGATAATAACATATAATAAACTCGTTATAGAATACGCAATTTGACTGAGCAATCAAAGATCATGTTTAACTTAGTGCGGAGTGTAGGAACCAGTCGCGCCGGTGTCACGTGACGCATCGGACCGGTCACCGGGCGTGAGCCGCTACGTAGATAATTACTTTATTTCGATCCAATCCTTGTTTGACCGTGATTGATGGAGTACCTCAACAGATACTCCTATGTTTAGATACCTACTAATATTTGAATTTGACGCTGATAAAAGATACATACGCAATAGTTATACGCAAAACGCTGCAAAAGCTTAATAAAGAACGGATCGCTTCTACACAGATAAGTACCGTTTGGCAAATGTACTAGTACTGAAATAGCAGCAATCCTCCAGATTCCACATAAATCTATACAACAAATAGTGAAGTATTAGCGGCTGGAATGTGGCTCGAGCTGGCTCACGACAACACGCCGGAGTATTTATAGTCATGAATGGCCTGTACAACTGCTAGTAATTACATCATTCATACTCTGTGGTACCTCCGACACTGCTCTGCCCTCCCCCCCTCCCCCCAATCACGAGCAGGGGACATGGTGACAAATGTCTCGTTAAATTCCTCATTACTGACCTTTTGTCATTAACTCATTGCTGGGATTGCGTGGGCGCCGCGTACCATGTTGTTAGCAGCGAATGCCCCTACTGTGTTGTGAAATACCATTGTAACACAGTGACTCCATATACTTTGCGTAGCTATGACTAGATAAAATGCTACACTAATCTTAGCTGCATGGCATGCGGTCACCTTCAGGTACTTTACTTTAACCACAGTACACTATTCTCCCGAAGCAGTTGTCAGTTTCTTTATAAATAACAAGATCGGTAAATACTGAAACAGTAACGAATTATATTTTTCCACAAATTAAAGATAGCATTTAATGAATCGAACGTTTCATTATAAATCTTTGTTACGTATAGCCCTGATAAGCTATCTATCACATTGTGAAAGTTTTCATATGAATTGGAAAATGCGTGGAGTCATTACTCACTATCGATTAATTAGCATTTGCATATTAATTCACGGAATATAAATAGAATGTCAAGAAACCCGTGCAACATAAAACTAAGTTTGTTTTATTACGTTTGAACTTGAACTTAATTAGAAACATGTAGAAAGTTGTTTTGTTTACTGAACGTGGAACTTACTTGAAGGGCAGCAAGTCGTCCAAGAAGCTGCTGTAAATACTCGCCAGTGTAAATAATGATGTTGACATTGGCAAGCTATGTAAACAATGTTATTTGGAGCGAAGTGTCGCCGCACATTGATCTGATGATGCTCCACTTGGAGTGGGGATGGCATCCGTGACGCATGCTCTTACTCACTACCAAATGATTCGCTGAATGTTTGTGCTAGTATCATTAACTAGTTTGACAGAACAAGGTTTTGTGAATCATTGCGAAAGTATTATCAAGTACTTGTAAGCAAATTCTCGAGCAAACATTCTCGAAATTATATTTTGGTTTGTGTTGTCATTACAGTTCCGGTCTCAATTGTTTACGCTCAATACAATGAGATTTCCCATACACTATCTAAACAAATCCCGAGTCTTCTAGAATCATTTTTGCAACTAGCTACTGACTGGCTGACTTTGGAAATATTCATCTCAGGTTAAAAGAAATCATAGGGGCAAGTGGCATTTTTTTTCATTTATTAGACATTGAGATAGCGGCTACTCATGGTTATTATTTCAGAAGTAAATACCGAGACTAGCATTACGAATAGAAATTATCAAAGTAAATATATAGTGTATTGATACATCGCTAATATTGACAGTCCAATTACACGCTGATAACGCGGGATTTGCCAACAATATCGGTCATGTATCGGTAATGGGAGGTTTATTATCTACCGTCGAAGTAACTCCCGTTCCAAATTTTAAGTTATTCAACGTTTATTTACCGGATTCCAATCCGGCGCCTGGCCGCAGGTACTATGAGTAGCTCCTAATTTCCGTTGTGTAGACGTGACTGCATTTTTCCAACATACATTACAGTACAGTTCTCCTGAGAAACTTGTAAAGCTTGAGAGTCCCAACTCCAAGCAACAGAATAAAACTCTCATAAATTAACGACGAGGTTTTCGCAGCCAGCTCAAAAAGATTCAGACATTAATTTAGTTATTATCATAATTATCTATACTGAGTTGGTTGCTCCTCGATTCCAAGCGATCGCTACCTTCCGCGGGGAGGTAGTAGTAAGCAACAATAACGGCATGACTAACATTCCAGTTGTGGGAACAGCAGAAGGCCATGGAGGAGGCGGCGGCGCGGCGGGAGGCGCGCGAGGCGCTCGAGGCGCGGGAGGCGCGCGAGCGACACGAGCGCCACGAGCGGGACCGCGTCGACCTGCTGCGCAAGAAGGACAAGCATGAACACAGCGCCAACGCCTCCACTGAGGTCAAGCAGAAGTTGCAGGTACAGCCTCCCTACTAGCCACGCGATTGTCGCAATAACATAACTAATGCGCTATAAAAATAACGTCTAACATGTATGTTTCTCTTTTCAGCAATTCCTAAAAAAGAAACAAGCTAGTGCAAATGGAACAGTACCTGGATCCTCCTATAGAAATTGGTGAGTTCACTAGCGATTATATTGATTGTTCGGTTCAGTAATTGGTACCGTACACGGAACGCAGCATTGACCATGTGCCGTGCGTGTGTGCAGGGGAATAGTGAAGTCTTCGTCGGGCGAGTCCATCACATCGACGGGCGCGACGGCGACGCACCCGTACCGGCTGGCCGCGCCGCTGCCGCTGGCGCTCAACGCCGCGCCCCCGCAGTCCTCGCCCGACTACCCGCTCCGCAAGACTGGTACGTCCTCATACAACCCTGTTCTTTGTACTGCATCCCTGTCGTGTGCTGTCACCCAGTTTGATAATAACAATACAAGTATATTAATCTATATGAATATTCTGAGAAATATCGTAAAAGAAGGAGAACACCCCTTGGCGCAGTTGTCGTACTATGTAGTGTGTGTGTGGCATACATAACGAGTGAGCATGCGCGTGCACTAACCTTGCAGCGTCGGAGCCCAACATGCTGAAGGTGCGGCTGAAGGCGCGCGTCATCGAGCGCCGCGCCTCGCCGCTGGCGCGCCGCCCCTTCAAGACGCGCGTCAAGCATCGCAGTGAGTGTTGCTCTTGGAATGTTCTACTTGTTGTGTTGCATTGTCTCGTGTTGGAGTCTACTAAACATATTTTAATACGTATCTTTCGATTAAATTATAAACAGAAGATATCAGTCACTTAGTTTTGCCTTTACCAAGTTATTTTGCGACGCGGTGAAAAGTGACTCTTATTTTTGTTACGGAATTGAATTGAGTCGGTCGTTGCTTGAAGAAGTATTAAGATGGTTGTGTTCCGCGTAGATTGCGATGGGAGTTCGCCACGCGGGTCCCCGCCAGGGGGCGCGGGCGTGGGCGGCGCAGGAGGCGCGGGGGCCACGGCGCCTATCCGCGAGGAGGAGGAGGGGTGCGGGCGCGCGGCGGACCTGCTGTTCTCGTCGCCGTCCATGCCCAACATCAGCCTGGGCCGGCCGCACCAGCCCGCGCCGCGCCTGCACCCCGCGCCGCCGCCGCTGGCCGTGCTGCCGCCCGTGTCGGAGGCCGAGGGCTGGGCCGCGCTGGGCGGCCGCCTCGCCAAGCGTCCGCTGGGCCGCACGCACTCCGCGCCGCTGCCCCTCGGGGACCCCGCCCTCACGCCGCCCTCCGCGCACCACTACTTGCGCGACCAGATACGAAAGACTGTGAGTATCATACTCCTCTGCACTTGGCATTGGGCAGTTAGCCCAAGCCAAGAAACTGAATGTCTTGGCAATGTTAGGTAGTAGTGTGTGTGCTTTGGAAAGTTACTATCGAGTAGATCCGAATAGTTGTAACTAGGATATGAGTGGTTAGATTTGTCCGATAAGCAAAGTAACTCGGAGGGTGTGGAGAGCCACGAATGGAGGGCGCGAAGTGAGTGTGTGGTGTTGGTGGCGCAGGTATTGACGCGCGCGCACGACGCGGCCGCCGCGCAGCTGCGGGAGGAGGAGGGCGAGGTCATCGACCTGACGGCGCGGCGCGCGCCTGCGGCCGCGGCGGCGGCGACGCCGGCGCCCCCGTGCGAGCCGGCGCCGCTGGCGCGCGCGCTGAGCTCCCCGCTGGTGGGGGCGCGCACGCCGGCCACGGGGCTGGCCTACGACGCGCTCATGCTCAAGCACGGCTGCGCCTGCGGGGCGCACGCCCCCACGCACCCCGAGCACGGCGGCCGTCTGCAGTCCGTCTGGGCGCGTCTCTGCGAGACCGGGCTCGTCGCGCGCGCAGAGCGGACGCGGCCCAGGAAGGCCACCTTCGAGGAGCTACAGGTGGGTGCCACTTGTCTGCTACACTTTGAGACTATGCTCATAGCTCAACAGTCGTTCAGCAACATCGTGAGCTGTTGTGAATCATATGTTGTATATATCGTGCACGTGTACATGGATGGTTGTATGGCAGTCGGTGCACTCGGAGGCGCACGTGGCGGTGTTCGGGGGGCGCGGCGCGGGGGGCGGGGGCGCGGGCGCGCTGGGCGGCGTGCGCCAGCTGGTGCGGCTGGCGTGCGGCGGGCTGGGCGTGGACTCGGACACGGCGTGGTCGGACGCCCACACGCCGGCCGCCGCGCGCGCCGCCGCCGGCGCCGTGCTCGACCTGGCCGTGCGCACCGCCAAGGGTGAGCTGCGGAACGGGTTCGCCGTCGTCCGCCCGCCCGGACACCACGCCGAGCCCAACCAGGCCATGGGTTTCTGCTTCTTCAACTCCGTGGCCATCGCTGCCCGCATCCTGCACACCCGCCACCGCCTGCAGAGGATACTCATCGTTGACTGGGTCAGTACCTACTGTGTTAACAGTACTATGATTTTTATTGTTATAAAATTAAACATTTTTAGAAATAGGTACCATCAAGATATAAAAAGTTGAATTGAGTTGTGTTGACATATTGTGTGTACATGCAGGACGTGCACCACGGTAACGGCACGCAACAGATCTTCTACTCGGACCCGCACGTGCTGTACATGAGCATCCACCGGCACGACGACGGTAACTTCTTCCCCGGCACCGGCGCCGCCAGCGAGGCCGGGGCCGGGCCCGGGCTGGGCTACACCGTCAACGTGGCCTGGTGCGGGGGCACCAACCCGCCGCTAGCCGACGCTGAGTACCTCGCCGCCTTCCGGTCCGTCATCATGCCCATCGCCAAGGTAAATAGCCTCAACTGCCGTGTGCGTGCAAATGTTCCATTGTAGTGAGGATGAGTGAGTAACTAGAGCGCCTTGCAGGAGTACGACCCCGAGATAGTGCTGGTGTCGTGCGGGTTCGACGCGGCGGCGGGGCACCCCGCGCCGCTGGGGGGGTACCAGGTGTCGGCGGCGTGCTTCGCGCACATGACGCGCGAGCTGCAGCAGCTGGCGGGGGGGCGCGTGGTGCTGGCGCTGGAGGGGGGGTACGACCTGCCCGCCATGTGCGACTGCGCGCAGGAGTGCGTGCGCGCCCTGCTGGGCGAGCGCGGCGCCGCGCCCGCGCTGGCCGAGCTGGCGCGGGTCCCGCACGCGCGCGCGCAGGCCGCGCTGCGCGCCACCATCGCCGTGCACGCCGCCACCTGGCGCGGCCTCAAGCGCGGCGCCGACCTGCTGGCCGTCTCCGCGCTGGACGCCGCGCCCGCGGTGGCGGCGGCGCGCCTGGGCCGCCTGCAGACGGAGCGCGACGCCGCCGACACGTGCCAGGCCATGGCCACGCTCTCCATGCACCAGCCCGCGCACACGCACCACCAGCCCTCCGACCACAGGTACGCCGACCTCTACACACACATTTCAGCTTTTTATTATGAAGGACTTTGGATCAAGAACCTTATCGATCTTAGAACTCTTCATCAATTAATGCCAGTCCATAGGTCCCCCACACTAGGTGGGGCAAGAGATAATGTCAGATTCTTACAGACCTAGACCACTTCGTTCCATCTCCTGCTGTGCCAGGTCATAGTTCCTACACTATTGCGCTTGCACCCTTAACCCCAACTAAAAAAGACGCACTTTGCGCTCAAATCTGGTTTTTATCACCCTAAGCAATCGAAAATATCGATTAAATTATTATTATTATTACTAACCAACAATGCCAAGTCAGGACAGGTGTTTGCCATGCTGGGGAAAGACCTGCCTATCTCGCTTCCACATCTTCCTATCTTTCGATCATGTCCACCAGTCTCGACGAAAGGCCCAGTGTATTTTACATAGAAAAAGGCGTAAAACAGGGTAATCCGCTCTCCCCTAAACTGTTTACCTGGAGGAAGTCTCCTCGAAAAGTAGGTTCGAGGTAGATGGGTATACTCTAAACTGCGTCAGTACATCTACTTAGGCCAGTTAGTTTCTTTCGATAATGGGCAAGAGTAGGTAAAAGATCGCCGAATCGAGCACACCTGGAAAAGATCAATGAAGCAATACATGAAAGGAGACCTTCCCTTTTTACTCAAGCGAAAGTTACTCAACATGTGTATCATATACCATAATTCCTTGTTGCAGATCTGCGGACAGCTCCCGCTCAGTGTCGGAGGAGCCCATGGAGCAGGACGAGGGCAAGTGAGCGGGCCGGGGGCCCGGGGACACTTCAACATTCCGGTTCCGGTAGTTAGCCGATAGTAGCGTGGAGTGAGACGTACTCGAATCCGTGTCTGTGCGACTGTGCTACGAGAGCTTTAAGGTGTAGTGAGCGAGTGGACGCCACCGCCGCCTGATGCGACTACTATACCAAAGATTGTTTCAAATTCTGATGTTACAAAAAGTATTTATTCAATGTGTATATAATGGAAATTGTGCAAATCTATTGTTGTAAAGTAAATTTTTATGATGGATATAAAATGTTTGTATATCTGTGTCCCTCGTGTCGGGCGTGTTCATGTATTGTCTGTTGCGTCGCTCGGCGCCGCTCCCACTTGTGTAACGTGTGATAACTTAATGTGAAACGAATTACTGAACTAATCTCTGTGTTGTACGGATACTCGGGTATCCGTGTTCTTCAATATTTTCACTATGTGATCGAATCCTGAAGGATTGCAAACAAGTTAGATATATTATGTGAAGTCAGATGTAAATGTTTATAAGAGAATGGTATATTTAAGCAGCCGAGTAACGGCGAGCAATGCCGAGTGGTGGAGTAGTGTATGCCGTGTGTTGGATGGTGGAAGTTGTTGACTATAGCCGACTACTTGTCCGTGCGTTACTCGCATCCTCTAATTATATATTTTTGTATGACGGCTGTCTGTGTGTATACAACGTACCTACGGGATGGGATCCTTGTACGATAAACAGAGTTAAACAAATGTTGTGTCTTTGAGAATTTTATTGTTAAATTGGAATAAAGATGAAATGATTATTTAATAAATGTATATATATTATATATATATATTTGGAAATATAAAGGAATTTTTATTTCATACTCGCTACCAAGCTCACCTGTAAGGATTGGGTAAATTGAAACTCCAGTAATGTATTTGCTTTCATTTATTTACATGAAACTTCTTCCGATAACATATTGGTTCCAAGCCAGTATCAGTATGTACAGCTATTGTCACCCTGCTACCTGCTTGTTGCAAGCAGCAATTGACGTTTTTTTTTTCAAAATAAAGACTTACAGTCGACGTCGCTCGAGGGGTCCCGTTGTGTAAGCCATTATTTTTAATAAATTCAATGTGTTTTTATACTTACTATACAAAACAATAGATGATCAAAGAATCCGAGATTTACATATTACTTAAATCAATCATATATACTAGTCAATAAATGCAAGCACTAGAAACGATCGCAGTCAAGCTAATGAGGTAAGTATGACAACGAAGTAATAAAATTATTATATTTACTAACATTACTGAACACATTTTGTAACGTGTTACTGGCTGGTTATATAATAGGTCTTTACCTATGAAATTACCGTTCTGCAGTACTGGCCATTTCAAATCAAAATAGTTTTTGTTAGGCTAAGGCTAATTAATTTTGTTTTAAAAACATGGGATTCTTTTTCCAAAAGTAGTCATTTATTTATTGATTAGTATTACATTTTCATCGCATTTCAAATAAAAAAAATCGTTTAAATTTTTTCATGCAAAACGGCAATTTCGTTTTTTTCACTTATGATATAAAACATACATTAAGCTAGGTGTGTACAAAAATAACCAATTACTTACTAGCTACGTATAAAAATATATGCGACACATTCTGCCTTACGCTATGAACACAAAATACTTTAATATTATATTACATCGTAAAACTTTATTAACTTGCAACCTCAACCTCAGTCAGTAATGCAGCAAATATTTACATAGTTTTCATAATAAAATTTTCATTATATTCTGCGAAAGGTTTACAATTCTTATATATTATATTAATTAAAGAAACAAAGTAGTAAACATTAAACAACAGTAAACAAATGTACTCCTAGTAATGCACTCTGTGTAGTTGCGTAATTGTTTTTTACGGGGCATGTCGGCAAACCAGAGGACGTATAACCTGATGGTAAGCAATCGGCGCCGCCCATGGACACCCGCAACACCAAAGGAGTTACGAGTACGTTGCCGCCCTTTTAGTGATTTAAAGATTGGGAAGGGATAGGGGAAAGGGGAGAGATTGGGCCTCCGGTACTCACACAGCGTAACACAACGCTCTAGTTGTTCCATGCCGGTTTTCTGTGAGGCCGTGGTATCACTCCGGTTGAGCCGACTCATTTGTGCCAAAGCTTAGCTTCCCACACTTATATTTCACACATTAGGCAAAGCATAGACTAGAATGAACTTGGTCCTTTATCTATTGGCTGTAAGCCCATAGACATCAGTGGACTATTATTGTATAGGTACATTTTAGGAATTGACTTATCATTGCGATTTTTTGATTCTAGCATTTTTTCTAATTGATCTCGTTACACTTACACCCGAATAGTACAAATTATATGATTGTTCGCTTACCGCACAAACTGAATTAGCTCTTACGTGAATAGACATAAAGTATAGTTTACAGTGTATGACTAGTGCCTGTCGGGAGGGTCCAGCGTAGCGCAGTGACAGTTACACGAGCTGACCGGGCACTCTGTGTGCTCCCTGTAATTACAGACATTCGTTTTGTCAATATCTATACAGATTTAGCGATTCTAAATAACAGGTTCTTCTGTGGCAACTACTGGAGATTTTCAGAAATACATTATATTTTTTTGACTTGCTCAAAAAATGAATCCTATGGTCTTAAGCGACACTCAAGTTAATTAGAGATTAACAAAAAAATTATGAATAGGTCTATTGTAGCTTTATGTATACTGACTTGAACCAGTTGATGAGATGCTGAGCGTGTCCCCCGTGCCTGCAGGCGACGCACCAGCTGAACCAGGATCCGAATGCGGCCCCCGCCCCCGCCGCCCCCGCGCCGCCGCCCCCCGCCCCCGTCCCCACATGCAGGGAGCACACCCCGCAGCGGGGGAGGGGCTTGCGGCAGTTCGGACACGACGAGATTTGCTGCAAAAAAATGTGTAAACAGTTTAGTTAGTTTGGAGAAGTGGATACTTATTGGGTTTTTGGCATTCGCGCACGCTGCTCATGAGGAAGAACCCCTCTGTGGTTCGAAACTAGTAGAGCTTTTCTCAATATATACACGTGAGTAACCCGCGATTTTTAGTTAATTTAGTAATGAAATATGTTCGAAAAAGGCGCAGGTGTTATGTGTAGTGCGTACCTTCATCTTGGCGGCGGGCGGCGGCAGGCGCGTGAAGGCGGCGCGGGGCCGCGCGTGGCCTGGCGGGGCGGCGACGGACTTGCCGCAGTAGGTGCAGGCGACGCAGACGGCGCGCGGCACGGGCCCGGCGCCGGCCCAGTCGCCGGCCGCGCTGCCCGCGCCGCAGACCCACGTGTCCAGCGCGCACCGCGCCCACCACAGCTGCCAGCTGTCCAGGATCGACCGGTAACTGCGGGACACCGACGGGTCATAAACAATCGAACCAAGTACCTATGTATATTTAAAAACTATCAAAGGTAATATTGTTATATTTATTTTTACCCATTATACGTGATCAAAGTTGTGCGTTACTTTTCTACTAAAATCTTTTCGAATATTGTCTTCTTATCTTGTTTTGTACAAGAATGGACTGTGAAACAATGAAACAATGAATTTATTTTTGCAAATAGGCCATAAAACGGCACTTTTACACGTCAATTTATATGTGAAAAACTAGATGAAGCCGGCATTTCCTATCTGACTACTCTGAGAAGAAATGCCGAAACAAACTCAGAGGTCAGTCTCTTTTCAAGTCCAGACAATGTAAAAATAACATAATGTGAGAGAATCGTGCAAGTTCATTCTGTAGTGGTCTTTTGAGGAAAGAACCACACCAGTTTAAGTGGACCCGTTCTGAAGACAGGCACGCAAGTGTCAGTTTGCAACCAGTATAGCTAGTGCTGCTGAGTTGTCCGACGAACAATACCGATCTAAAGAACATTTGGGTGGGTCGCGCAAGTACTCAAACTGTCAGAACGCAGATAACTGGTAATCAAAAAGCACGGCAAGTCTCACACGGTCCTTACACTAACAATAATATAAAATAATAAAAATGTCAATAAATAAATAAAAAAAAATGTCAAATAAAAAATAAAATGTCACAATAGGTGATTATGTCATTGTATAAAAAATAAACGTAATGTCAAATTGTATATAAAATTGTAACTTATGTTACAAACATGTCAACATGACCTGTGCAGACATTACAGCGGCTCATTCCCATGCCTGACTATCCTCTAAGTAGTCTTTTATTTTATAAAATGCTTTACAGCAAAGTTTAGCCTTTATTACACTTTTAAATTTATTGAGGCTCAAATTTTGAATATCGCTAGGAATTTTATTGTAAAAGCGTATACATTGACATCTAAACGAACTAGTTATTTTCTGAAGCCTGGAGGCAGGGACAACATATTTGTTTTTCCCCCTCGTGTTAATATTATGTATATCACTATGCTTCTTAAATAAGCTTTTGTTTTTATGAGCGTGAATTACATTTTCATAAATATATTGTGAGGCAACCGTCATTATCTTAGTTTCCTTAAATAATTCTCTGAGCGAATGCCTCGGACTAAGATTATAGATTGATCGAATAGCCCTTTTCTGCAGAACAAAAATAGACTGAATGTCAGCAGCATTCCCCCACAACAAAATACCGTATGACATGATGCTGTGGAAATAACTAAAATAAACTAACCGCGCTGTATCTACATCTGTTAAATTTCTAATTTTCTAATTTCTAATTTTCATACTTCAGATTCAGACTATTTCAATTATCATACTTTGACACCTAGAAATGTCATCAATTTCTTTATAAACAAACGCTAAACTAACTAACTTACTGCAAAACTAATTTCAGTAAAAATATTGGACAAGATTTTCGTAGAAAAAGAAACGCAAAGCTTTGATCATGTATCATAAAAACTTTCACGATTCATACAGATTCTTTGGAGGTCTTTGAAAGATGTCAAAAATGTTCTCAATAGTTTAAGATATAATACTTTATCGACGATAACGTCATGAAAAAAACACTATAGGTATTTAATTTATAGCGCGTAAGGTACGCGCAACGTGTCGGCGGTTCTATACCCGCACAGAACACTATGTGATTCACAAATTGTTGTTTCGGGTCTGGGTGAGATGTGTATATGAAAATGTTTGTTTGTATACGCACCCAGGAGAAAATCATAGTGCGGGGCAATGTTTAAATCTATTATAAGCTAGTTTCTATACCTTATCTATAAATGTGGCTTAAATATTATGAATAAAATGCCAACAATAATAATAGATAAACTTTTCTTCCCACATTCATTACAAATTTATTTCTAAAATAGTTGCGTACATATTTTATTTTAAGTACTAAACTTCTTAATTACATTAGTACTTCGAAACAAAATAAATATGACACAAAATTAAATTATAGCTAAAAGACATTATGGCAGCGGTGGGATTCGAACCCACGCCTCCGAAGAGACTGGTGCCTTAAACCAGCGCCTTAGACCGCTCGGCCACGCTACCGCATACACAGGGCGGCGAAATTTGCCAATGTATACCGTTTTTATTTTGAAATATTTTCACATTGAAGTTTTTTTATCAGCGATGTTGAGGAGCTCCGTAACTGAAACTATTCTTACAAAAATTCGAAATGCGAAAGTTCGTTACGATGTTTGGATGTTTGTTACGCAATCAAGCCAAAACGGCTGGATGGATCTGAATAAAATTTGGCACAGGCTTAGAATACACTCCGGAATAGTGCATAGGCTTTTCATCAATATACCGTGTAGGCGAAGCCGCGGGCGGAAAATAAAAATATATACGTTTTTCCGGTTTACAAGTTTCGGATATTTGCTGATAAGGAGCTTTTCAACAGCGCTGACAATAAAAACTCAATGAGAAAATATCCAAGTTTTGACTGTGTTATGTTGCACCGCTCATACGCCATGTTAATATCTTGTGCGCTAGTTTGTTTGTCGTCCGTCGTCATAGGTAGCCCCTTTTCGTTACAAATTATAAACAAAAGTACTTGAGTTCTATGCATGACAAATGTTTCATCAGGATCGATGCTACAAACATCATTACACAAGTACCTACATTCTACTAGTCTTACTTAATTATAATAGGTTACAAAGTTTTTGTAAATGTGAGTGCCCACATTTACAAAAACTTTGAAGTTCATCAACAATTAACAACATAGTGTACAATGTAATGATTGCAAACAAAAATTCCTCTTAACATCCTGTGGAGTAGGACCAGCTAGCCTCCAGGCATTTTTATCTTGTATATATGTATAATCATTTAGTTTGTAGTATGCTTGTCTACATAAAGTTTTCTTTATACATAACTAGCTCTTACCCGCGGCGTCGCTCCCGTCATTTGACTATCTACCCTACTCTGCCTACCCTACCTACCCTACTCTACTTACCCTACCTACCCTACTTTACCTACCCTACTATACCAACCCTACTCTTCCTACCCTACTCTACCTACCCTACTCTACCTACCATACTCTACCTACCCTACTCTACCTACCCTACTCTACCTACCCTACTCTACCTACCCTACTCTACCTACCCTACTCTACATACACTACTCTACCTACACTACTCTACCTACCCTACCCCACTCTACCTACCCTACTCTACCTACCCTACTCTACCTACCCTGCTCTACTTAACCTTCTCTACCTACTTTATCCTATCCTATGTCCTTCTCCTAGCTCTAAACTACCTCCCTGCCAATTTTCAGCTAAATCAGTTCGGCCTTTCTTGAGTTATAAGTGGAGTAACTAACACGACTTTCTTTTATATATATAAGATTTAAATTTGCTTTCATTCAGATTTTGAATTTCAACTGGAATTTTGTTACAACATTTAACAATCTAAATAAAGACTGCCTCAATCTATTCCTATGTCTACTATGATAATCATGTTTATCAGATACTTTTACAAATAACTGTAGGTAACTACCTAAACTAACAAGAGTTCTCCAATCGACCCAAACCCTAATAAGCCCAAAAACTTAAGATTAATTAAAAAATTAAAAAGTATATAGATTTTTTTTATATTGATTATGTATTTTCTTATTAAATTTACAAAACGATAAATAATAATAACACGTGTATAACACTGGTGTGCATTTGTGGATGTTTGTGTGTGGTTGTGAATTTTCGTTGCTATGGCTTGTCTGTAAGAAAATTTATTTTATGTATTTAGGAAAATATTTTGTCTTTTTAATGTTAATAGAAGGTTTATATCGAGCCATTTTAATATCTTAACATGCAACAACGTTATCTGCTTAGCAGCGATCAGCATTAAGAATGTTAATCTTATAAATAATAGACTGTGAATAATGTAGGACCAAAGATGCTTCCTCGTGGCACTCAATTGTTGATTTCCAGTTCGTCACTGACTAAGTTATCAATTCTTGTGATTTGTTGTCGGTTACTCAAATAATTCGGAGTCAATCAAGTGATTTCACTCTTATACCAGACCATTTAAGTTTTATCAGCAATATAAAAGAAGAAATGGAGTCGAAAGCCTTGATAAGATCCAGAAACACACATATTTTATTTAAGTGATCTAAAGTTCATTCGTTAAAGTACACTAAAACTTATGTTTTTTGAAAATTCTATTGGAAACCCTCTCTCAATGAGCGCCCAAGATACGGCTTTGCCTAGATTGGGGCTAATAATAACAAGATATGAAATATTTTTGTAATAAAATGTTATGTCAATTCTAACTCTAAGTATATTAGACGAAGACGATAAGTCTATACTGAAAAACGGTAGCACCTATTCGGATCCGTCACCAAATGGCAAACGGTGCGTATCTTATAGATCCGTAATTATTGTTTGTTTGCCTGACTGTATGTATCTCAGACACTTTTTTAGAAATTAAAAATTATATCTATATCAACTGCTCTAATTTGCTAAATAGATGTATACTGTGAAGCCCATTAAGATTTTCGAAAGTTGAAACCAAATGTTTTGTCTATGAATATCCCTTGAAATAAGATATTGAGCGTTCTCGATTTCGTAGTTTGCGCAGAAGCAAGTTCCAAAGAAGTAAAGTGTCCCCCGTGTAGGTGTCGTACCTGTCGAGCCAGTTGAGGGTGCGCGGGTCCCGCAGCAGGTCCGGCGTGAAGCAGCGCGCGGCGACGAGCGCGACGGACTGCACGTCGCCCGTGGCCTCCAGCCAGCGCTGCAGCAGAGGCAGCGCGTCCAGCCCCGCGCCCGTCAGCAGCACGCCGCCCAGCGCGCCGCGCCCGCACAGCTCCGCGCTCGTTGCACGCACGTACTCGTGCAGCGCACTGTCCGGCAGGAAGATGCACGCGAACGCCACGCGGTCCTCCAGACGCATCTCCGTCTCGTTCTGCAACAAATACAGGACTTGACCACGAGTTGCAAGGGGTGCTCGGAGCATTTAATGTAGCTTATTTTACTGTTGCTCATCCATCATCATCATCATTGTATGTATGTACGCTCTCAGAACAGACGAAAAGTTAGCTGAATGAATATAGCAGTAGGTACTGACCAGCACGGCGGCGAGGTCGGGCTGGTGCGGGGGCGGCGCGTGGTGGTGCGGGTGCGCGGGCGCGGAGGCGGCCAGGAAGCGCAGCAGCGCGCGCAGGTAGGGGTCCGGCAGAGCCGCCGCTGCCGCGCCCAGCGCCTCCCGCCACAGACGCTCGTCGCTGAGCCCGGCCAGCGCCAGCGCCACGACGCGCAGCAGCGGGGACTGCGCGCGCGCCAGCACGTCCAGCGCCGTGCGCACGCGCAGCTGGAAGGCGGCCAGCGCGGCGGCGCGGCACGGCGTGCCCTCCGCCTCCGCGCGCTCCACCCCCGCCAGCGCGTTCTCCCACCCCCACCCCCACCCGCACAGCTGCAGCGCGCGCGTGCGCTCCGCGCTCCTACACACGCATACTATCAACATTGTGTACATCTGCCAGCGCCTATCTGTCACTTATTCCCTATATTGACTACCTCTCACCTGTAGATGGTGACCCGTCGGTTGGGCAGGTCAGGCAGTATTGAGGGCACTATCTCGGAGCGGTACCCCCCCTCCCCCACGGAGCGCAGCACGGTGCGCACCCCCGGGTGCTTCCACGGACTGTTGCGGATGCACCCGTCCTCCACCAGGGACTTACTGAGTGCTAAAAAGTGCCACAGACCACTCAGCTCATCGTCATCTGCCAAGTCTGCATTCTGCCATAAATCTGGCTGCGAACAAAATGAGGTTAACCTAGTATCCACAAACAAACATATTTGATATATAGAACACTGTTCTTACCTTAAGTCCATAATCAGTCTGCGCTCTCTTTTTCATCACGTACGAGATATCTTTGATAGCAGCATAGAAGTCATCTCGCATCAGCCGCAGGGCTCCGCCCCCACCTGTCCACACGAGCGAACCCTCGCCGCCCCACGATACAGTGACCCGTTCGCAAACAGTGTAGTCCACCAGAGCTCCCGTAGCGCAGACTGCCAGCAGGCGGGCCTCGTGCGCCGGGTGCCAGCTGAAAGCTACGAGAGGCGCGGCGGGGGCAGAGCCCACCGTCACGTCGCGCTCGATGACGCTGGGCCCCGGGGAGCTCTGCTCCTCGAGCTCCGCCTCCACTGCCTGCCCAGCCATCTGACACCAGACCACAATATGAACATTATCTTAGCAAACAATAGCGAGTAATGTAGACATTTAATAACATCAATGAGAGTATGTACCGCGCTGTCTGACAAATTGATCTTGTTGTCGCTGGTCGCCTGCTGTATGTCGTGGATGCGGAGTGTGCTGGAGTCGCGTTGCAGGGAGACCAGCAAGTTGCGCCTAGAGAGAGGGTCAGCGTTACAATGCTGCGAGTACTCCGTGAGTATGGTGAAGAAAAGACGGGACGCACCTAGTGGGGCACCACTGCAGCTGCGCCAGGGGGCGCGGGTGCTGCAGGGTGAGCAGGGGGCGCTGCAGGGCGCGCGCGTCCCACACGCAGGCGACGCCCTCGCCCCGGGACGCGATCTGATACCCGCCGCACGGCTCCGCGCATACACCATAGCAATACCGCGTAGTCGTCGTGTTCACTGCCTTGTTCGACAAATCTATAACAGATCATGACATTCCTTATACTAGATTATTTCCTTTTACCTACTATGTTTAATGTAGGTACATTACCGATTCCACGACATCTGAGTTACCTTTTGTGCTTACATCAGTTGATTCATTAATTTGTCATCATCTTCAGAAATAAAATTAAAGTCAAGTACAAATTACTCATGAATTGACATTATCTATCCTAATACTATAATAAAGAGGTAACATTTGTATGTTTGTATGTAGGAGGTAATCTTTGAAACCGCTGGTCGGATTGCCAAAAATCTTTCAGTGATAGATAGCTACAATGTTCCTGAGTGCTATAGGCTATAAAAAATCACGCTACGATTAAATGAAGCCGAGCAGCGAGTGAAACCGCGCGAGAGATAAAATTCTAACCTCTGAGATCAAATATCTTGATATATTTAAGGTTCATGGATGCTATCAGAGTCCTGCTGGAGAAGTTGGCCCAAGTGACACAGTGGGCTGTCTCTGAAAGACCCATTTCAGCTAGAGGCCGCGAAGCATCTGAGACTGATGATGATGATGATGCAGCATCAGTTGCTGTGTGGAACAAACATTTTACAAGTTAATATTATATTGTAAAGTCCTGATCATGCTATCGCAAGCAAGCTTCACCTTTAGCTTCCTCTGACAGTATGGACCCCCGGTATACATCCCACAGCAGTATGCAGTGATCGCTGCGGTTTTTCTCCATGGCCACTGCGAGCATGTTGGTTTCCATGTGACTCCATGACACGGAGTTGCAGAGTCGTGAGTAGCGAGGACCTGGAATGAAGAACAGTGGTCTGGTGTGGTCACATAGTTGCAGTAAAGAGAAGTTTGTACAAAGTAGTTAGTAGTTTGTACTATTTAGAATGCAAAATAACAATTGATATAAAAATCTTGAATTAGGTAAAATAATTTTTATGAACTTCCTAAATTTTAAAAATATAAAAATAAGCTCATCATTCGTTAATTATTTCTTAGCTTTCATTCATTCATTTTTGTTTATCATCATTTTTCTAGTTCGAAAATAGTATTGAATTTGTCCAGTACCCTATTTAATTTTATATTTATTTACATACAGTTAATGCATTGAAATGTATTTGACTTACTGAACTCTCTCCCAACCAATCCTAATGGATCATAAGTCTGCTTCAAAGTGGTGAGTGCCACCCTCCCATTAGCATAGCCTAGCGCCAGCAGTGGCTCCGGCTGTTCAGGGATGGCACTAATGTCTACACAGCGGACTCCACTAGCGCTTTGTGATGCAAGCACTGTTGCACCCCTGGTTGATGATATTGGAGTGACTGCAGGTAAACCAATAAAGTAATATAAAATAAAAACCTAATTGTGTTGTAAAACTGACTGCAAAAGAGTAACCTTGGAGTTTCCTACTTATTCTTCTCTGTAGGAATCTACATTTATATTTAGAAACTCTTTAGATACTCATTTACTTACAAACAATTGATCGTATTTAATTCATATTCAGCTTCGCAAAAATGTTTTTATTATTTACTGTGTGTGCTAAAAATATCGATGTTGTGTGCATGATCATTAACTTTATTTATGAGTACGATACCAGTTAAATTATAATTATTAGATGTGTAATTTGGCTCTTGTTTTGATAACACTGGCCAGATAACAAGGAACTCATGACATTATATTTACGACTAATTATATTTTATGTAAATATAACCGACCATTCAACATATTTTTACATGTTCTTTGAATCGAATAATAAATTATTCCATACGTACATGTTGTTTTTTTCTCAATTTCCTTTATCCGAGAAACTTCGTATAAGGTTATGTCTGGACCCCATAGTATAAATTTATCGTGGTGTACAGGAGACCATAGGACTTCCAATTTAACACCAGACATCATTTTCGTTTTCTATAATAGGTTTCCTGAAAGAATTAACCAATACTCATGTTTGTTTATTTTGCAAGTGGATACATAGCAGTTCAACCTACAACGCAACTTGTTTTGAGTTTTTGACATTTATTACAACGTTTCGTTTCTACACTAAATAAAAACCTATAACACGCTTGTCATGATTGAAGTCATGACTAATAGTTTCATAAACTCGTAACGATCCAATTTTCGAACGTAACTAAAAGTGTCAAACTTTCTGTGCTGCCATTGTTTATAAAAAAATATCCACTTTTCCCACATCTATATTGATTTCTTTTTCATATTATGAATAAGAAAGACCAAATGCGTATTTTAAAACATGACTAAAAATAATGTTACATTAATTTTTGAATTACTGTTTACTGTGGGTTGTAATGTAAAAACCATAAGCAACTCTCTTGGTTACCTAATATTGATTTAACAATAGAATTTAATGAAAAACTAATGTTCCACACTATCCAAGTCGTAGATGTAACTAAGAAACTTTATTGAATTAATTAAAGGCTTAATTTAAACATAAACAAAATTTCCCTACTTATATGGAAATGTTTACTTGTAATTAGAAGTACCGCCCTAAAGAGGTCGCTACCTACGACATCGACACCGATCATCAACCCTTTTTGACAGTCGTGTAAAGTGAGTGACCATTGACGAAATAAGTGAAATCAATTTACGCCGAAACACTAAAACGCAGGATAAACCATCGGAATCTTTTTATTTGAGGTAAGTTCTAGAATTAACGTAGAGTGTCGTTCAGAAAGTGTAGCGGCGGACGGCGGTGGTGTGTAGGTCAATGACGTGATGAATGTTTACTACAATGGCAACGCCTCGTCTTCTCCCACAGTTTCACGCGCATTGTCTTACGGTTCTCACGTGTTAATGCACTTTTCCCGTCCTGGTTTAGGTGGCCGACTACCACTGTATCGTGTTTGCTCGTGTGTGGAATAGTTCTGTGTTTGTAGAAGTTGCCATAAGGCGTCATATCAGACGTATGTGACTCACTCGTTCGCTCTCTGAGTGATTTTCTACGAATTGTCCTGTAGTGCAGTTTAATTGCATTGTTTTTGTTGTAATCACTGGTTAATCGCTGAAAGTTATACGAGCGTCGTGCAAAGTGACTGTGTATCATGGTATTATTGGGGCCTTCTCTTCCGTCTCCCGCGTTGTGGAGACTGTGCTGAGCCCCCAGTGATGTTCTCAGCGCTAGCCTACCAGTTATCTTCAAAGTTTCTGGAAGAGCAGAAGGTGAGACTAAATTTGTGATGTTGTAATGACTGGCGGATAAATTTCTGTAAAAGTTTATTAATGCAGCACTCTCTTGTACATTCCTATTAAAATACAGTAGTTTATTTTAACTACCTTTGCCAGTACACAGAATATTAGCTACAAATCCTATAAGAAAAGCTCTCTACTCACTGAATGCCGCACCTTTCCCTTTACCCTCAATGCTAAGTACATTAATGTACCATGAAATGTGGTAACTGCCATGAATTTACAATTTGCTTAACTTTCTCACTTTGAGTTTCTCTGACACTCATTAATGATGTTCTAGTTTAACAATGGATTGAATATTAATTACTGTTTATTGACTTAGCTGCAAATTATTCTATTTTTTATGGTTCAATTATTTAACAATGGTGAAAAGTTTCCAATTGGGTACAGAAGATAGATGTAATATTTAGAAATTAAATGTTACAAATGGCTGCAGTAAAATTAATGATTGACAATGAAACCTGGAGATTTTTTAAAAATAAAATCAATAATTTTAATTATAAAAGGTCTGGTTAATTAGGATTTACATTTAAAGAACTCATGACTCAAATGAAAATGATATCAACCCCAAGACTGGGAATGAAAATCGAAACAAGTACCCAGTTCTTTTATTTAATATCGTCTAATGGCAGTCAAGTAGTAAATAGCAAATAATAACCCTTTGTGTGGGTAATGTAACTATGCAGATGTAATCATAACATGACATTGTAACTTATAGTGGGATGTACATAGTTATGCTTGTAACAAATATATTGTTTTTTTTTCAGTTATTTGCTTCTCAGCTATACTTCCATAGACCTTAATCATCAAATCATGTTTAAATGCAACATAGTTTTGATTATTGTAGTGAATGAGAAAAGGTATTTCAACTTGTACTTGACCTCTGTCTTAAATAAAAGGTATGAATAATGCTATTTACATGAATCCCATCACTAGAAGTGATTGTACTGACCTTACCCTATCGTGGAGCTCCAAGGTGATGTTCTTCCTTTCCAATTTGCCTTTAGTGGATAAGCATTTCACTAGCTACTCTACTGATATTCCAACAGACATGTTGATGAGGATGTACAGCTGATTTACATCAGATTTGCTGTTAACTATAACAGGAATTCAGAAATGTGCAGTATTGTTTATGCACCTAGACTTTTGTCCTTGGTAAACATAATACTACCTACAGGCTATTGTTCAGTGAATCCATTAAAGACTACTTAAAATATTTACATACATTACTTTTCTAGAAATATGCTTCACATATCCTGGTTTTGTTTACATTCTGATAAAATGTGTCATTTTTTAATCTAAAAAGTTTTCTAGTTATCTTTTCTCTTTCCATATTATCAATATCAATTAGCATTTAATCGTTTTTTTCCATGTTATCAAATAACTTTAATAACTTTCAATAATCTGTTACAATCAATAGCAATCTTGTTAAATTTATCAGTTATTAATAATATCTTTAAAACATTTATCACCTGTTATCAGTATGAAGAAGTTTACAACACTAGATAAGCATTTGACAGTTAGTATCTGGCTGTCTGTGTGATCTGATAGGTTGATGTTACAACTGCTGCGATGGACCAAACCTATATGCTTCTCATGATTGCCGTACTAATTGACATTGGTTCATTGCTATCTATATTAAAAATTGGCTTATGTGTAATCTCTTAAGACTCTAAATCAAACATGTTTACTTCTTTAGTAAACAGTTTTAGGTACTAGTTGAGTGTGTACGCAAATAATGTTGATAAGATTAACGTGGTATAAGCTAAATTCGGCGAGTTTGACTCGCCGAATTTAGCACTAGTGAGCGCGCTCTGGAGTGATTCCGTTACATCTACCCGTCCCTCAGTAATCGAGCCCTCATCGCATTCATTACTACGATTCGTGCACTTTCTCCCATAGCACAGCACAACATACAAAATAACGTTTTTGTGTAAATGATATCACGTGAAAGTGATTCGTAGTAGTCGACACATAATTTGAAACAATACGCGTTTCTATTGCACACGCCGATCACTATTCAATAATCAATTTAATGTAGCACGCCACGCAGGGAACTCCTATACGAACCTGTTTTTATTGTGATGAAAAATGTAACCATGTTATATTTTTTCTTAATTAAAGTCTTTGCTTCTCGTTAAGATCTGTGCGTTTATAAATATACAAGCTAACATACACATTACATCCAGACTCGGCACAATAATCTGTGGATCACATAAAGAGTTGTTACGTGCTGAAATCGAACCCATATTACGTTGCACGGTAGATGGACTTCTTGATCTCTCATATACCTTACTATATATTTAAGTAGAAAGATGTCCATAAAAATTCGACTAAATATAAATCGTGTAGTTTTTGGTACCTTGCACATGAGAAGTACACTGATATTGTCGTCATGGCTGTACATGAGACCTACCTATCGACAATTATTTCAATCAAACGCTACGGACCGTACGACGTGTGTAATCTGTTATTTAACGCGTCAAACTGTGATTAATGATACTTGAGTATCGATACTTCAGAATCATTAGTCAGCAGTTACTCTATCGTACGACAAAATTGGAAAGCCATGATTCCTTTGCCATTAATAGGACTATTTAGGTCACCCTAGGGATCTAAAAAGTTTAGTCTAGTCAGACGATACGCCTTCAGTTACCATAAAAATAACGTTTGAAGGTGCTAATGGGTCTGAAATACGACACAATTAAACCATTTTCACGCGAACCAAGTGAGACAGAGGAGCGTGACTCACGGATGACACCATGTCCTAGAGTACCAGAGTGGTAATGTGGCCCAGCTGCTAATTGTATCATATTTGGGTTGTTGTCCTAGTTTACCTGGTGGTAAATTTGTAAAAGTATAACATCATTGAATGTCAGGGACGCTGGCTAATCGAAGACTTCCCGCCGCAACTGTCTCAGAAAAAATTTTGTACTACAACAGACTCTATAAAATATGCACTATATTGCATCTCTGCAACATCTACATGTTATCTATGGCGATGAAAGCTTGTGCCATTGTTATTCTAACCACAAAGATTGAGAACATATCAGTATATTTTTAGTTAGAAAGCGTACAACTGTTATAGGTATGTGGATTTCGCGATATTGGATCTATTATCAAAGTGTGCCAATAGACAACAGTTATTTATAACGTTTTTTATCCAATTAAAAAAATTCTTTCTTTAAAAATTTTAGCATTTTATTTATTTATTTATCAGACGATCTGTTTACTTTATAAATCCAACAGTACACGTCTATCGTTTTGCGGAACATTTTTTCATCCGAATATTGTGGTTTCTGTACAATCATCAATTCGAATAGTGATCGTGTCATTGTTTGTTATCTTCCGTATTATGATGTAGAACATTTTGAATTTATGGAATCAGTGACGTATTGGTTGTGAGTCACACGGAGCCGTGATTACGAATTTACGATTACATTTATTTATCTTTGTGTTTGCCACTCTGTGCGTTTCACTCAGTTCATTTAAATACTCGTGATAACAGTGCCTTCGGTACGTATTGTGAACAAGTTATTGACAACAATTTATTCGCAGTGTTTTAAAGGTGAATTTTGTTTTTGTTAATTATGTTGCTTTAATTAAGCAAAGGTGAAAGGTGTAGTGAACTCGATTTATGATATGTAAGATCGTGAATTATTTCTGGAGATGCGCTTGATCTGGTATCGTAGTTGTGATAAATTTTTAGTAGTTCTGTGTGTCTCAGTGCATTGTCACACGAGTTTCTATTTCGCGCCAACTCGTCTGGAAAGCGACGAACTTTTTCCGCGCCAGTGCTGCTAACGTGAAGTTTTTACAAAATTACCAGCCATTATGTGGTGGCACTCGACACGCGATCTCCAAGGGAAACCTCTTACATCATTCAGATGAACATAATTGATTTAGTGGCTCTCCGACGACGTTGATTGGATATATGCAGCTAATTAATTCTATAATAGCGCTGCGTACATGTGCACGAGTGAAACTGACTAGTAATTCGTTTTCAATTGCAAGATTTTATATTTCAAAATGCAAATTGTAAACATGTCTGATAACGCCCGTGATATGACGATAAATCTTCTGTTGAATCGTTTGGTGGTACATGAGTAATGGATGACTAACTTCAGTTTGTATAAATATTTTGTTTCGGGAGGTTTACTCTTAGCTACTTACTACAATTTCTTTCTGTATGTGAGAGAGGTTTGAAAATGTAATTACTTGGAGCAGGTGTCGAGGGGTGAGCGCACCTACCTCGCTCACTGATACTTACACGCGCGGCACCTGTCGCGGCAGACGCTTTGTCAGTAATAACAATAATTATGATTGATGCAGATTTGTCCGCTGTACCTACTGTGTACGCCCTCCGCTGTGTCAAGTGTAATGTGACGTTCAATCAATCTCATTGTCACATCGCTGTACACAGAGAATCGATCAATATTTCTTTAATAACA